GCTATTAGGATCCCGTGTCGCAGATTTAAAAACTCGACTGTCATGTGCGCTGCCCTCCCAACCAGCCATAACCATAACAAAAGTGAAGCACATGTTAAAGTCGCAGACGTCCATGATATTTTGGGTAGGGCTACCACAACGGCCGATAAATGTCACATTATCACTATTTGGGATACGTGCGTCAACATGTGTTCCATCAATCGCGCCAATACAGTCCTGATGAGTAAATGTTATGTTTGACATATCATTGCTTGCCCTTACAGAGTTAACTATAATGAATTCGAGAGAATACCTTGAAAAAGGGCATATATCGTGCATCACGTGCTATCTCAACCGGTATCTGCTCAAACTTATAATCTGAGGGTCTGATGGCATGAGAGGACAAGCTAACAAGGGCGCTCAATCCGATTGAGAAATACCTGCTTATTGTTTCTGATGAGTGTTGAAATCGCTCCATCGCTCCTCGTATAGACTCATACCACTTGAAAAAAAATACTTTCATGCACAGATTGCATTGGTGCTAGAAAAATACAACAAGATATCGTAGTATCAAAAAAATAATTCCCAGGAATCAAACTAAACGAAAGAAAACAACTTAATAGATAAATATGAAGTTGAAAAAAAATCAGAGTAAGCAATATTTCTAATAATATTCAGCTAATAAGTTCTAAAATTTTTCATTCATAGACATATTATCTCATCAGTTATTCGTTTCTTCAGCTCTGTCATCTTGCTTGCACCTTCCCCATCTACTGTGAAGGCGATGGAAGCCTCAGTCTCTTCTTCTGTGAAAGACTGACCTGACAGTATTCAAATGCTTCCGAAGGCATATTTTTTTCATCTGTCTTCTTCTATTTGCATTCATAGTGATGGGTATCCCTAAATGTTTCCCCTAAATAATTATCATTTACATAAGAGTTTGTGACAATAAAAAAAAATAAATGTTTGCAAGTAATTAGGAAGATACAACAGAGTTCACAAACACAACTCTAGAAAGAAAAAAATAAATAATGCAGTGTAAATGTTCTAGTGATGAAAAATATAAAAAATATCAATTGTTCAAACGATTATGAATATATGCCTCTGCGGGCGGCAGACATCTGCACAAAAAAATCCCTACGGACCGGGTCTTTTAGCAATTCTGCTGCGAACAGATACAGCTCTTCATCTGCATAAATTTCGGCTGTAGTACTTAGGATTTCAAGTGTCTCCGCGATTGTGCTTGAATGAGAAGACTGACATTCTGCTTTGAAACAAGAAATCGCCTCGGATAACTCATTTCTGAGAGAAGAAGCACGAGATTTTCTTTTATCAACAACCCTCTGACGTTTGGAAGTGGAAATGGTTTCATATTCGTTCTGATCTGGGCTGGGGACGTCAACGAAATCAACTGAAGAAATCAACTGAACCTCCAGGGGTTCCCTCCATGGGTTCCCAAATTCACGGCATTGCCAGCGAACCCTGTCTCGCTTGGGCTACATGTATAGTTCCTCGTTGCAACCACTCCCCCAAACATGCAGTCTAGTTTCTCCTCCAATTCAGACTCAATTCCAGAAAGCTTAAACTTTTTTGCAGCAGGCACCACCTACACAAAAATTGATAGACACTCAATTATAACAAAATAGAAAGTTACAAAATAAAAAAGTTTATAAACAAAGCTCACCGCAAGTCTTTCAGCCCACCATTCCTCGGGTGCATCAATTGCTCGCTTTACTGGATCCCAACCAAGACCGGTAGAATCCCTTTTCAATTCCTTCCATATTTTTCATTCCTTCTTCGTTTGGTCCCACTTGTTTTTCATTTGCAACCTGTCATATTCCCTGCCTGTACATTCCTTGAAATTTTTTATAATGTTTTGCCACCTTTATTGAAATGGGTCGTTGGTCGATTTCCCCGTTCAATCTTTTTAATACAAAGATCACAAAATATTATTTTCGTATCTTTTTCCCACAATGCAGGTATAGCAACCTCTTTAGCCTTACTATCCATGTTATTACTATAACAAAACACAGTCATGAAACACAACATTAAAATCAATTAGAAAGTAGAATAAAGTAAAGTTTAGGTGTTAGAGATTTAGGGAATACACAGTTAAATAAATATTTAGGGAATACGCAGTTATAAAATATTGGAGGTTTAGTTAGCTATATGGATGAAACTAGAGTACCTATAGCAGAGTAAGCTGTGCTGAGAGGGTAGTTGCCTCCGTCTGAAGTGTTTGCACCTTGCGCTTAAGCTCACTAGTAAACATATAAGAATGGAGTTGTATGTAAATCTGCCTAAAAATTATAGCTAAAGACTATTATAATGATAGCGAACAATCACTTCGCAATTAGAGATGCAAATTCATGAATGCACAAAAAATCTTTTTTTACAAATTTGAAAATCAAATCTAATTAGGTATTTACAGCCTGAATCAAATTTCTGACAGCAGAATTGAAATCCAAAGATTTACCACATGAGTTTGGTTGAATAATGTATTATCATACACAATAAAACCATATATATATGATAAGGCTGAGCTTTAAAACCTATAAGCAGAAAACAAGAAATGATTCTAAAGAATGCTGAGAAATAGAAGAGGCACAACAGCTAGTTCAGAAATAGTTTGAAGAATTTCGTCAATCATATGTGAAGACGAAGCTCCCATTGGCTGTGGTGCTGGTGGAGGAAGACGAGTGTGGAAGAAGAACGCGGAAGAAGAGCGGGGGGGAAGAAGAAGGCCGAAGAAGAAGAGCGGGGGGAAGAAAGATGCGGTCCTTGTCGAGGAAGAAGAGAGGGGAAGAAGATCGCGGGGAAGAAGAAGAACCTGGTCGCCCACGGGAGGGCGATCCGCAGGAGTCGGAGGAAGAAATCGACCCACTCCGGCGATCCGCGGTATTCGGAGAAGAAGATGGCGGGCTAAAGTGGCGATTCACGGGATTCAGAGGAAGAAATTGATCCACTCCGGCGATCCGCGGGATTCGGAGGAAGAGTGGCGATCCGCGGGCGAGATTGGTAGGAAGAGATCGCGGGCGTGCGGGCGTGCGGGTGTGCGGGAGGGCGGGACGAGGCGAGAAGAAGATCGCGGGCTTTTTCGTGAGGGGCAAAACAAGCCTTTTTCACGCTGCAAAGCTGCGCCGTGTGAAGGATATGGCTTTCCGCTTTTCTTCCGCGTTAGCTTTCAATTGCCGCGAAGCTCCGAGCCAAACATCAAATTATCGCGATTTAGGGCCGCGAAGTCGCAAAAAAGCGGTCCCAAACGGAGCCTAAGATCTGATATAAAGATTTCTCATAATCAGTTGAATTTATGCCGGGCAAGTCTACTATGGAAGCTCTTCATTTATTGAGAGGTTTAATGGAGAAGTGTAGAGAAAATAAGTAGGATCTACATTTGATTGATTTAGAAAAGCCTACAATAAGATTCCAAGAGAAGTTCTTTGGAGAGTTCTAAAAAACAAATGTATTGATATGACTTATATTCAAGTCATTAAAGATATGCATTCTAGAGTTGTTACTTGTGTTTGAACTGTGTTTGAACAGAAGGAGGAAGAAGGAGGATTAACTAAGTAATTTCCTATTTCAGTTGGATTACAAAAGAGATCGACTTTAAACCCATATCTTTTTGCTTTAGTTATGGATGCTCCTACTGGACATTTACAAGAGGATGTATTTTGATGTATTCTTTTCATAAATGAAATCCTTCTTTTGGATAAGACTAGAGAAAGAGTCCAGGAGAAACTTGAATTATGAAGGTCTACACTAGAGTTTAAAGGCTTTTGCTTGAGTAGAATTAAAATTGAATATATGAATTGTAATTTTAGTAGTAGTAGATCTACTGGTAAAGTTGAAATTATTTGTGATCAAATCATTAAAAGGTGTTAACATTTTAGATATCTCGGGTCTATTGTTCAAAGTGATGGTGATATTGATGGGGACGTTAGTAGTAGAATTCAAGTTGGTTGATTGAAGTAGAGGAATGCATTGGGCCTATTGTGTGATAGAAAAATACCGCTTATACTTAAAAGGAAAATTTTGTAAGATGGTGGTAAGACTTGCAATGCTTTATTGCGTTGAATGTTGGCCTTTAAAAGAGAAGCATAAAACTAAGTTAAGTGTTGCTGAGATGAGAATGCTTAGGTGGATGACTGGCTTGGCACGTAGAGGCAAAATGCAAAACAAATGTATTTGTGAAGGGTTGGTGTAGCTCCAAGGGCAGGCAAGATTAGATAGAATCGTCTTAGATGGTGGTTTGGTCACATTAAACATCGACCATCTGATGATTTTATTAGGAGAGTGGATGTTTAAGATTTGACTTATGTTAATAAAGATAAAGGTAGATCTAAAAAGACTTGGGCATATTGTATAAAAAATGATATTAGAATTAAATGAAAATATGATGCTCAATAGGACGCAATGGAGAAAAAGGATTCATGTAGCCGACTCCATTTAGTAGTAGGATAAAGGCTTGTTGTTGTTGTAAGCTTTTTGGTAGTTGATTTCAATGGAATTTTTTACTTGAGGAAGTATGTGAGATCCACCACTGTAAAGCTTGTTGTCAATTAATCTTGTAAACCAATGTAACATTTCACGACCTAAACAATATAATTCTATCCGTCATATGCAAGATTCTAATTTTCCTTGAATTGGCAAGTCATATTGGCTGTCTGGCTTTTACCGATCACATGAATCTGTGCAGTTGGAAGATCGAGTTCATTTATACTCCAGCATATCAAAAGTTACTAAATATTTGTGCTTTACAAAATTTTTTATTTATTTATTTTCTTGACATTGTGCATAAACAGTACCGTCTATGAAAAAAATTTGGTGGAAATGCGGATAGATTGTCAAATGATGTTTTGGCAGGTCTTTTGACCTACCTTTAGTTAAGGTCTTGCAGTTTTAGATATAAATGCAATTACTCTTTTCTGATACCTAATATAATTTTGGCAATCTCTATGGTGTGGCATATTTTATTCATGTTTTCCTTATCTATATTTTTGTAACATATTTCTGTATAGGTGTGGATTTCAAGGTAAAGATGGTAACAATAGGTGGCAAAAAGTTGAAATTAGCTATATGGGACACAGGTATTTAACTACTCATTGCTTTGCGTTGTTTTAATCCACTGAATTTCTGTATGTCCACATAAAATTTAATGTTTTAGAAGCTATGAATTCTGTATTTTTGATTACTACGTTTCCTTCACATTGGTTGGAATTCATTAAGGATTTTGGTGGAGGTGACGTATTTATTATTAAATTAGAAAATGATCTGAAAATATAATTTTGTGTAAATTGTGTAATATTACGCAAATTTTGGCCGCCTATGGGGTAGAATTGGTAGAACCAACAGCTGATGACCTGATTTTATTGGCGTGCAAATTTTGAATAGAACCAATGAGCGAATTTTATTTCTCTTACAAAAAGGAAAGGTTGGCTTCAATTTGTCTCGGTATGTTATTTTGATATACTAACTAAAATTTATGGTCCTGTGTACATTATATATATCGCTTCATGGTCCTATTAAAAATAACAATAGTGCTTTTAGTTTGTATAATATGGCAATTGAAATAAATGGTGGATTATATTTCTTAATGTCCACTTCAATTCAAAACTCAAATGTACACTAACAATTTTCTTTGAGGATGAGTTTTATGAGAGATACCATTGGTGAACACCTCTTTCTTCATTGGCATTCCCACATTTCCTGATATTTTTTCAGTCAGTTTTAGAATATGAGGGATTGATGAAAGGTTAACATCTTAGAGACTTGCAATGAAGTTCATATATGCAAAATCTAACAATGAATTTGCTTTATGTATTGTTAATTTTTGTATTAATAATGATGGAACATATCAGGGGAGTTTTAATAAACCTAATCAAAATTACTAAGGGGGCATATATGACTAGGGAATCAGGACATTCCAAGGGGATGCATAGAAGATTGGTCGAGATATTTTCCAAGTGGATTAGGTTGCCACTGAGAGGATTCTATGGAGTTGAGAAGATTTGGTATAGTATGAAAGAAATTAATATTCTTGAGAAAGCTCCTCTTCTAAGAGCTACAAATTTAACCTATTGAGTGATTTGTTTCTGAGCAATTCAAGTGCTGGCCTAATCGCCAATTGCCTTAGTTGAAATTGCTTTTATTGTTTGTAACTTCGGATTGAATCCCTGATTTCCTGTAAAGATTTTCCTGCTTTTTAAAATTTTTTTTTGCAATTGATGCTCACCTCTTTGTAAAGGGGATGTGATCAGTACGCGAAGTAAAAATTAAGAGGGAATTCTCAAAATTCTTATTATTCAATCTTCAACCTTAAGGTTACATGCATTGGTAAACCGGTCCCTCCTAATTTACAATCTTACAAAATATACCTAGCCTAAACATGGAAAGGAAATAATTCATAAAATGAACTTAAATAGGAAAAGAATAAAATTAATCAAGCAGTTTCCCAAACTGTCTCCAATTAATAGAGAGGTTGATCCTTCTACATTTTCACACCCTCCCTCAAACTGGGTCGTAGATGTTGTAGAAGCCAGACTTGGTATTAAACTTTGAGAAGTTGCTTAACAGGAGAGCTTTGGTGAAGGCATTAATAACTTTTTGGTGTGTCGGGATGTAACTTAGCTGTATAGTTCCACAATTAAGTTTTTTAAAGATAAAGTGTATATTAATTTCAATATGTTTGGTCATGTCATGATGCACAGGGTTCTTGACAATACTAATAACTACTTGAATATTGCAAAACATTTGTATAGGCCTATCATAGGTACACCCCACTTTCCTCAACAATTTTTGAATCGAAATCCCTTCACAACTTTCTAAAGCAAGTGCTCGATACTCTGATTTTGCACTGCTTCTAAAGACAACATCTTGTTTCTTACTTTTTAATGTGGCCAATTTTCCTCACGCATAGGAGTAATAACCTGTGGTTGACCTTCTATCAGTGAGTTCTCCGATTCAACTTGCATCAGTGTAGACTTCTATCTCTCTGTTTCTGATTCTCTCAAATAATAAACCATAATCAGTAGTCTTCTTGAGAAATCTTAGAATCTACTGCACCATCTCTAAATGCTCTTCATTTGGATTATTCATATGTTGGCTCACAATACTGTCAGTGAGTTCTCTAATCCAACTATCATCAATGTAGATTTCTACCATTCTATTTCTGATTCTCTCAAGCAATAATCCATAATCAGGTAGTATTTTTGAGAAACCTTAGGATCTTCTACGCCATCTCTAAATATTATTTATTTGGATTATTCATATATTGTCTCACAATACTAACAAACTATGCAATGTCTAGCTTAGTATGTAAGAAGTAGATGAGTTTTCCTACCAATTTTTGATATTTTCTTTTATCCACAGATATACTTGCTTCACTGCTATTAGAATTCTTGTTGAGATCCATGAGAGTATCGACAGGTTTGCATCCAATCATCCATGTCTTAGTAAATGTATGATGTATTTCTTCTGTGATAAAAGAATGCCCTTCTTGGACCTTTACTATCTCCATAACTAGGATATATCCCATGGTTCCTAGTCCTTGATTTCAATCTCAGTGGAAAACACTTCTTTGGTTTTAAGAATTTCTCTTTCATCATTACAAGTACGGATCATATCATCCATATATACTGTAAATGCAGTAACCTTACCTCCTTGAGTGTGTTTGATGCACCGTGTATGATTGGCTTGACCTTGGGAGTATCCATTAGATCTCATAGTTTTAACAAACTTTTCAAACCATGCTCTTAATGACTTTGCTTAAAACCCTAGAGTAACTTTCCGAGTTTGCATACTAGGTATTTTGTTGGAATTATTATCAAGCCCTAGTGATATCTCCATGTACACCTTACCAAGATCTCCATTTAAGAAGACATTTTTTATGTCAAGTTTAGACAATCCTTATTTCTTGTTAGAGTTTAGTTTGACATCTGATATAAAGGTCTCCCGATAGTCAATCCCATAGGCTTGAGAGAAACCTTTCGCAACCAGTCTTGTTTAAAATCTCTCAATACTACCATCAACTCTATACTTGGTGTTGAATACCTATTTGCATCCAACTGGCTTCTTATCCCTTAGAAGCTTAATATGAGTCCATATGTCATGTTGCTTTAGTGCTTGAATCTCCTCTTCAGCTTCTTTCCTCCATTCTTGAATTTTAAGAGTTTTCATGATGGATTTAAGGATCTATGCATTATCATGGCTAGATACAAAAAATTTATAGTGAGGATAGCTTCTCATAAGCTATATACCCCTGAATTGGATATTTTGTACAACATTCATTGTCATCAACACCATATGAGTAAGGAGATAACTTCTGAGTTAAAGATTTCTCCTCACCCAAAATTTTAGGTGAATGTAGACTCAATTTATGTCTTGAGTAGTTTTATTTTTGCAAGTTGTTTTCCACCTACTCGAAGTTTTTCTTCCTCCTTGTGTACACATGAAGTTCTTTATTATGAACTTCAGGTTGGGTTGGTTGGGCATGCTCAAGTGAAATATTTTCATGAAGTTTTTGGGAGATAGAACGATCAGGTGAAAGAGGGATAGGTTGGAGACAATGTAGGTGTCATTAAGTGCATCCCAAAATTGGTGTTTATTTGCACTCTCCTCCTAAATATCAAATTTGAGATAATATGATTCACTTTTAAAAAAATATGACATCCATGAAGTTTTAGTATTTTTTGGTAACAGACGAGTAGCACTTATAACACTTTTGGTTGGAAGCATACTGAAAAAATACACTTGATGGATTTTGGGTTAAGTTTTGTACGGTTTGGGGAATAGATGTCAAGAAAAGATACACACCGAAAAATTTGAAGTCGTGCTGTAGAAGAGAAAGTTCTGATGTGGGGATAGATATCCATTAAAATATGAAGTTGTGTTTTGAAATTGAGTACCCGGTTAAACATTTAATTGATTTGGTATGTTGGAGTAAGGACTGTTTTCCCTCAAAAATATTTTGAAACTTAATGGAAAATCATAATTGAGTGCTATACCTCAGGAAAATGTTTGTTTTTTATCTTAGCTATCTCATTTTATTATGACATTTCAATACATGAAATCACATGGATCATTTCGTTTTTTGAAAGTCAGGATCCAATGATTGAGTTGAAATAGTTCTTGCATTATTAGTTTTGAGAATTTGAATTTTGCATTGGAATTGAGTTTGAGTTATGTCATGGAAGATTTTGGAAGATTTTAGTTGTTTCAAATTTGTTATTTATTAAGAATACCCTCGTGGTTTGATTATGATCGTCAATGAATGAAACAAACCATTTAGCTCCACTTAGGGTTGTTACCTTTGAAGTTCCTCAAATATTTGGAATCCTATGCAATTTTTCATATTTTATTATTATTTATTGTAAATAATTTAAACAAAAATACACTCCATATATCTCTTTGGATATTTTTACCCCTTGTTAATATGATTATAATAAATGCGTCCTCATGATCATTATAAATGCATATTTTTTACCTCTTGTTAATTGGAAAGCGGAGATGCAGAAGGGGTAAACCACGGGATTAAAAAATTGGGACGACGGGATACACTTGAAGAGCCGTGTTTGCATTTTAATTAAAAACCGAAACATGGTTTAAAACGTGAGTGGCGAATTGTTTGATACAAACACTCAAATTCCGATTCTGAATTGATCGTGGGCCAAAGAGCTGAAACAACTGATGTTTCTCTTTTACTTTTCTACAAATATACATAAATATATATTGGGGCTATTGAAGGAAATTATGACCATTAAGTTCATGGTTTTGATAAAGGTATAGAGTTTAGGGGTAGTTTGGATAAAATTCCTATTCTTTGATTTAGAACTAATCTTCGGATTAGAATTAGACGTCTTCATTCCATTTTTGGTCATAATCTCTATGCACCTTTAGGGTTGGCAGAATTTCTGGCTGCTGTTAACTGTAGGTTTCTGGTCTACTTTTTATGCAGGATAGAAGTCCAACAACATTGTAGTTGTCGCTTGCTCGGGAAGTAGAAGATGGGTTGTTGGTGGGAAGGTTAGACAACAGAGAGAGGAAGCCGACAAGAAGTCGGCTGAGGAGAACCTGTAGCTGCAAGGATTTT